CTTGGCATGAGCTACAGTGGGAAGAGTGCTGCAGCCCAGCCCTAGCCAATGCTACATGAGAGGGACTGTGCTGCAAGCTTCTGAGAAGGTTTCTCTCACATCTAGAAGAAGCTTGTAAGATGCAGCTGCCCCTCTTCTTCAAGTGGCTCTTGTCCTGTTCCCCTGGGAGTTCTAAAATTGCTGCAGCAGCCTCCACTCAGCCTGAGGATGACATCAATACACAGAGGAAGAAGAGTCAGGAAAAGATGAGAGAAGTTACAGATGCTCCTGGGCGACCCCCAGAGCTTACCATTCCTTAGACTTCTTGATGTGGTGCTAACAGATTTGTATGTGAAATGCGACACTTTCCTGATTCCCCTTGCAGGACTTGTGACAGGGGTGTGGCTCACCTGTTCAAACTCCTTGAAGAGAGGGGAGCATGGAGATGGGCAGGTGCACAGGCCACGGCAAGCGCTTTGGGCTCTGGCTCCATGATAGCGTCTAGGTGTGGGTGCCTGCAACCACAGTGTTACAAAGCTCTTTCAGCTTTGCCATCTGCACACAGCTTGAGTCTGCAGCTCCACAGACTCTCTGACTTATCTCTAAAGCAGAGGGCCAGTTTGACAGCTTTCTGTATCCCAAGCTCTTGCCAGGCATCCCAGAAGAGTCAGACCACATGTGGGCTCAAAGGATGAGTGCAAGATTTTATTGAGTGGTGGAGGCAGCTCTCAGCAAGATGGATGTGGAGCCGGAATGGGGGAATGGAGTAGGAAGGTGATCTTCCCATGGAGTCAGGCTGCCCAGTGGCCGGACTCTTCTCCAATCCCCCAAGGCCAAACTCCATTCAGTGTCCAATGTCCCTCCTCTTCCCTCTTTCTCCGCGTCATTGTTTGCCATCCATCTGGTTGCCTCCTTGTCTCCTCACCTGCTGGTCTGCCCTGGATCTTAGGTTTGGAAGTTTATACAGGGACAGACTGGAGGCATGGTGGGCCAAAAGGCAAATTTTGGGAGTGTGAAAACTGAAATGCCCTTTCTCATTTAGGGGCACAGGTATCCAGGCTGGAGGGTGGGACCTTTGCTGGGAAATCACCCTCTTCTACCCAGTATTTCCCTGTCTCCTGTCCATATCACATGGAGTTTCAACCATTCAGAAACACGTTTTTCTCACCTGGTTTTATGCTAATCAAAACAACTATAAAAATGAATAATTTTCTCTTTACAACCTCCCCTGCTGTTGAGCTATCCAGGAGTGGTCAGAAGGTGTGCAAGCTGCTGAGTCAACCTGACTGCATCAACCCCATTAGCTTGAAGGGTGGACAATAGTATTGAGAAATAGTAAAATAACAAACAGTGCAGAAGAGGCAGGCATCTCAAAAAGTGCTTGGTGGAATCGTCACTCATCCAGAGTGAACACGGTGACACAGTTGTTTCTTCAGAGTTCACTCTATGAACAAACTGAGCAATGTGGCATTTACTTTAAATTTCATGGGTTGTGAAATTTCATCTAATGTCATAATTAAAACTTCCTACATATTGCTTTAGGCATCTCTCTCTTTTCCCCAAAATTTTCTCCAGGGCATCCGCAGAACCTCAGCCTCCTCCACAGCCTCCTCCACAGCCTCCCAGCTCTTTCTTTTTCCTCCTGCACGGCTTTGGGTGTCCCACCATTTCCCCCAGTAATGCAGCAAACTGTGAGTTTCCACAGCCTCTCACAGACATGACTTCACCCACAAACCTCTGTGAGACTCAAGCGTACCCCTTCTTCTTCACATAGATCCTCTTCACCCCAGAGAATTGAGTCAACCAAACAGGAAATCTCAGGACAAACAGTGCTGGCAAACATCATTTTGTTTAAAGTGTCATATCAACATATATTTGTTGAGAAACTATTTGGAGTTCTTTGCAAACTGTAACACTTGTTTAGGAAAAAAGATAGGGAGAAGAAATTAGGATCAGTTATTTACTTGAGGCATGTGAGTGTTCTTCATGTATGACTCAAGGACATCCCATTTCTTTCCTCCCCGGTCTTCCATCTTACATCTGCTTTCCTCCCTCTTCCCATGTTCCTTTCCTCATGTTCCTCTCCCTCTCCCTCACCTATAGGACTGAGAATTCCTGTGGTCTCCTGAAATCAGTTTTTTTCCACCACATTGTATACGAGCTGTGGAAAGTTTTAGTTCTTGTCGACTCCACGACCCACATTGGTCAGGCAGAAGCTCCCGTGTAAAAGGTACCCCTTGAGCATTGGCAAGGTGCATGACACACACTTGGTCACTGGAGCAAATGAGTAGAGAGTGATAAATAGAAGAAGGGAGCTTTGAGCCTGAGCTCTCTGGAGCATAAGAGTGGTTGAGGCTTGGCACTTGCCACCTAGATTTCAGACAATGTGTCAGGAATCCTGGATGTCCAGAAAGAAACCTGTTCCAGGGCTGGAGTCCCAACATAGAGCTTTTATTTAGGCAGTGTTGAGCAATAATATGTGGTTGGAGTTCTGCAGAGGGACCCCATAGGTGCATTGCGTAACGAAGCTACGGGAGAAAGGCCTCACCCCTAAAAATTCCAGAATTATAAATCTACCAGCTGCTTACAACTTCAGCCTGGAAAAGCCAGGGGCATTAAACTCCAAACTGTGAGGGCAGCCATGTGAGCTGCACCCTGCAAAGCCACAGGTACAGTGCTGCCCAAAACCCCAGAAGCCTACCCCTGGCACCAGTGTGCCCAGAATGAAGAATATAGGGTCACGGAAGATGATTTTGCAAGTTTAAGATGTAATTTCTGCCCTGTTGGGTTTATGACTTGCATGAAGTCTCTTCTTCTTCTCTTTCAACTGACATTTCCCTTTTGAAATGAGATTGTTCAACCGCTGCCTATAAAACCATTGTAATTTGGAAGTAAATAACTTGTTTTTGATTTTACCGGCTCATAGCTGGTAGAAATTTGTCTTGGATCTCAGATAAATCTTTGCATTTTAGACATTTAAGTTGCTTCTAAACCTGATAAGGCTTTGGAGATTCTTGAGATAAACTGATTGGATTTTGTATGTAAGAAAGAAGTTTATGTCTTCAGCTTTTTGTTCTTTATCTACTCAACTAACAATATTTTGGGGTTTCTATGATTTTTTGCTGAAATTTGTATTCCCTTTTTAATTTATCTTGTGCATAATCTGTAATTATTTTCTTTGTAGTTACCATTGAAATGACATACTGCATCCTATAGTTATACCATCCACATTGAAATCAATGTGAACTTCGATTCCTTACAAAAACTCTACTTTTCCACACCTACGTTTCCACTTCACATTATTGATGTCACTAATTACAACTTTATATGTGGTGTACATGTTAACAGAAATATATTCTTATTCGTACACATTTGTAATGTAAATCTTGAAGAAAATGACTGTAAAAAGCAAACTTTCACAAATACGTGTTTCCACATTTTTCTTACACCTACCTTTACGAGAGGTCTTTATGCCTCTATATGACTTCATGTTGCTGTCTAAAATTCTTTCATTTCAAAGCAAATTACTCTCTTTAGCATTTCTTGTAGAGCAGTTCTAAAGGCAATGAACTCCTTCCGCTTTTACATCACATAGTCTTAATAACTTTCTAATTTTTAAGAAATAATTTGGCTGGGCTGGGTATGGTGGCTAGCGCCTGTAATCCCAGCACATTGGGAGGCCAGTGTGGGGAATCATGAGGTCAAGAGATTGAACCATCCTGGCCACTGTGGTGAAACCCCGTCTCTACTAAAAATACCAAAATTAGCTGGGTGTGGTTGTGCCTGCCAGTAGTCCAAGCTACTCAGGAGGCACAGGCAGGATAATTGCTTGAACCCGGGAGGCAGAGATTGCAGTGAGCTGAGATCGCACCACTGCACTCCAACCTGGTGACAGAGCAAAACTCCATCTCAAACAAAAAAAATTTTTTTAAGTTGGAATAATTTTTTTTTGCCAAGTATGGAATTATTGGGTGAAATTATTTCTTTATTGATCACATTTAATATATCACCTACTATATCTTCCAAAGACTCTCATAAGAAATCTGCGGATCATCTTGTCCAGGATCCCTTGCACCCCATGCATTATGTTTCTCTTCCTGATTTTTATTTTCATTGTTGTTGTTGTTTTAGATGGAGTTTTGCTTTTGTTGCGCAAGCTGGAGTGCGATGGTGCAATCTCGACTCACTGCAACCTCTGCCTCCCGGGTTTAAGCTATTTTTCTGGCTTAGCCTCCCGAGTAGCTGGAATTACAGATGTGTGCCCCCATGCCCAGCTAATTTTTTGTATTTTTAGTAGAAATAGGGTTTCACCATGTTATCCAGGCTGGTCTCAAACTCCTGACCTCAGGTGATCCGCCCACCTCAGCTTCCCAAAATCTCTTGCTATATAAAGATTATCTCTTTGTCTGGCTTTTAGAGTTGGATGATAACACATACAGGTCTGAGTCTCTTTGAGTTTATGCTATATGCAGTTCTTTTAGTTGCCTGAATTTGTAGATTCTTGTCTTTAACCAATTTGAAAAAGTTTTGATGATTGTATTCTCCCTCCAATTTGTTTCCATTTCTTTTTTATAGTTTCTGTGTTATGACTATATTTAGATTTTCTTTTTTTCCCAGATTTTCTGTAGCTCTTAATCCATAGTTTTCATTAGCAATTTTAGCATATTTAAGACAGTTGTTTAAATGCTTCTCTACTAATTTTAATACCTGTGATTCTTCAAGAATGATTTCTACTGATTTATTTTCTTTCTCATAATGGACTGTGATTTCCTGTTTCTTTGTATGCCTTGTTATCTTGTTTTATTTCTTTGAGCTGGAGTCTTGCTCTGTCACCAGGCTGGAGTACAGTGGTGCCATCTCAGCTCACTGCAACCTCTGCCTCCTGGTTTCAAGTGATTCCCCTGCTTTTGCAGGGGAATCCTGAGTAGCTGGGACTACAGGTGCTCACCACCACATCCAGCTGTTTTTATTTTCTTTTGGATTTTAGTAGAGATGGCGTTCCACCATGTTAGCCAGGATGGTCTCCTTCTCCTAACCTCGTGATCTGCCCTCCTTGTCCTCCCAAAGTGCTGGGATTACAGGCATGAGCCATCGTGCCCGGCCTGTATGCCTTGTTATTTTATTTAACTGGGCATTTGAAAAAAATAAAACATCTTTTTTACTGTATATAGATTTGTTCTGTCATGACAGTCATCAACTCATATGTGTGTCAGGTTCTCAGTCAAGGCATCAGCCCTACATAAAACCTCAAGGACTTCTTAATTTGTTTCTGAACATGCACCTACATGGATTGTTTTTGCCATTTTATTTTTCCCCAAATAACCAATGGCTTTTGAATCACTTACTATTGAAAAATTTTGCATCCCAGTTTTTCCTCAATGACTTAGATGGACTACTGCATGTCTCTTCCTCTAGTCTTTTGCCTGTAACATCTGTATGTGTATAGTCACCCTGAATCTCTACTGAGCTACTGAGCTACTCCATAAATAAATAAGTTTATTTCAGTCAATTTTAGATACTTTCTGATGTTTCTATGAGTCATATGGGAGTCTTATAATCCACCATCTTGTTGAAAAATTTCAATATCTTTATAATATTACATTTATGTCAATGTACAACAATTTACTTATGTTTCAATTTCTGTTTGTTTTATAAGGAAGCAAATAGAAGCAATCATGGCACTGCAAGTTGTGACTACTCCACGATGTGAATCATGGATCATGCAAATTACATTAATGTTCTAACCTGCCCTCCAAAGGGAGAATGAAGTAAAAATTATCCCATGTGAGGATTATTCACCAGTTTATATGTCATTAGTTACCAGTTTTTCCTTATGAATGTTTAACAATATTATAAAGTATATCTAATAGTTATCAGGTGTTTGGCTTGTTACTTTTTGATAGTAACTCATAAAACTGGCTGGATAAGACAAATAAAATAAGGCACAGTTTGCATATTACAAAGTATATCCAAAGTCCAAACGCTGTTAATAAGAAATCCTCCAATAAAACTACAACAAATTTTATTTTTTATTTACACCCACATCAGGATTACAACTTTATCAGGACTGCACTTTGATCAGGAAGGGATATTTCTCTCATAAGGTTAAGAAGAAAGAAACAATAAACTTGCTGATGAAAAAAATAACACATTTTAAAATTTTAACTTTAGTTTTTAATTGAGGGCAATATTTTAAAGAAATGCTCATTAGTCATTCCTTTAAATTGTGTGTGTGTGAGAGAGAAAAATGAAAACTAGTCATTTCAAATGCTGTAAGATACAGAAGAAACATCATCATGGCACAAACCAAAAAGAGCTTAGTAGCTCCTTTTCTGTAGTCTTATGTAAAGTCACCATTTGTTCTACAAATCTCTTTGAATAATTTATATCATATATATAGAGATTTGGAACAGCAAAAATACTTCTGAGAGAAATTAATGAGTGTATCACGCCCTCCTGATAATTTACTTATGAATTTTCTTAGATAAGAAACAGTTGAACTGGATTCCATTTTTATCACTGCCTGTGTAAGATTGCCTCTGTCCCTCCTCTCACACGCCATTGGTTAACCCACAGACAGTATGTCCAGGGTCGTTGCCAGCTAATTGCTCTTATAACCTGTGAGGGAGGAAGAAAGAAACATTTGCAACCAGGCCAGTGACAGAAATGGATTCGAAACATCAGCGTGTGAAGCTGAATGATGGCCACTTCATGCCCGTCCTGGGATTTGGCACCTATGCGCCTGCAGAGGTAATAATAATATTTTTAGTGTTGAGAGTTCAAAAGAGCTAGAGTAAGTGGAAGCTAGAATAAGTGGAAGCTGACCAGGTTGTCAGGCTTGTGTTCCCAAGTTACCTGCATGACTCTCCTTTAAACGTCAGTCTTTGTTCTGCAATGCAGTCTTGTCACAGGGTCATCTACTGCTTATTTGGGGCACTGTTTTGTCTTCTGTTTATGTTTGTTTCACAGCTTGTCAGAGTCTATAAAACTCAGCAGAAAGAACACGGCCTGCCTGCTCCCTCTCTTGAAGATTGATTGCAATGGGAGTGGTTTCTCTGTTTCTTTGTATAGTTGAACAGATATTTACTTCTTCCAAGAAGACACAATTCAGAGGAATATTAATGGCAAAAGTTAGTGGAGACAGGTTGCATGAAATCTGTTGGGAGAGTATCACTGTTCTGTTGGGTGGCCTTGAGCACCAAACTGTAATACTAGAGCTGGACTAAAGAGAGTTTCCCATGTACTACTCTCAGCTCTGGGAAAATTACCTGAAACGATAAAATATCCTCATTTTAAGAAAAAAAAAAATACTAGAACGTAACAAAGAAAATTTAAATTCTTTGTCTTTGTTAGTATGGGTCAGATTTGTATAAAAATACTGTAACAGAGAAATTTCTTGTTTCTCTGATGAGAACATTAATGGAATAGATTTTATTTTCTAGACTTAGCTATTTCTACACTG